TCCCCCCCCCCCCCCGGTCCCCCCCCCCTCCCGGTACCCATTCCCTCCCGGTCCCCATCCCCCCCCCGGTACCCATCCCCTCCCGGTACCCATCCCCTCCCAGCACCCATCACCTCCCAGCACCCCTCATGGCAAGGGATAGATGTTCAGGCAGGCGTTAATCTATCCGGGCAGATATGAATGTACCCAGTTCTGTGATGGAAAGGTTTGTGCGACTCTGCTGCCCCCTGCAGAATTTGGGATGGGAGAGTCTGGGAGCAAATACTGCCAACATAGATTTTTGGTTTAATTTCCCTTCATTAGTAGTACAGAGGTTCAGTAGGTGCCCAGGTGGCAAATGGAGTGTATTTCTAACCAGGTAGACCCTCAACCTTTCTGGTGGCGGCGATCTTCTTTAGACACCTTCTTCTTTTTTAGAAAGAGAAACAATTTTAAGTGCTTGTAACACACTGGTGTGCATATGCATGTTGCTGCACAGCAGAAACAGGTATGTTGGCTCTTTGAATGAGCCTTTCTGGTGAAGGCTGGTTTGCTAAGGAGACAAGGTACGCAGTTAATACACAGTAATTAGCATTTAATTACAAAACTGAATAGTGAGTCAAGCTGTGATAGTATCGGGTGGTATCTTGTACTGTTCCACTGGCTCACTACTGCACCACAACATCCTCCTCCTCTTAAACATTCTCTCTCACTAGGTGTGCAGAAGATTGACAGGAGAGGTGATAGATGGTGCTTTACTGCTTCCAAGAGTTCCTGCTGCTGATTTTGGCTTTCCCCAACAGTATCAGATAACGTGTAACAGTGGAAATTGAAGAGGAACCTTGCAACAGAGTCACAGCAAGGGCAGAAGGACACTGCAGTGACGGGATGAGAGTTGATGTATCAGGAATGACGTGCAGCACGCTGTGGTGGAGCCTGCCCCTTGCTGGATCAGCCCTGCCAATAAAAGCACTGGGGAGGAGGCACAGCTGGAGCAGAAGGCAGCACCCCGAGCCGCACACAGCTCCCCTCTGGGTGCAGTGGGATGGCAGGTGAATTAGCAGCATCACTGTAGCATTGCCTCGTGGCAGTGCAAGTACTGAAAATCATCTTCCTCATATTCACAAATATTTTAGTGTGTGTCCAATGACCTGCTTTGTCTGCCCTCGCAAGGACCACCAGTAAACGTGAGATTCCCACCTATATTTGCACATCCCCACGTTTAATGGCATGCCTGGCCATCCAGGGCTGCTGTGAGCCAGGGCTAGGAGCCAAACAGAAACTGGCCTGACTGCACCTGACATTTGCTTCTCACATCTACACATTTTCTGCTTTTTGCAATTTCAGAGAATTCTGAAGAGCAAAGGCGACATCTGCAGCTCTATTTCTGGTTATCCCATCTGAGACTCCAACCACTCATAACACTTCCCCCTTAGATAAAAAGGGGGGAGAAGGGAAAGATTTGGGGTTTTTGCTTCTGTTTCCTTAGTTCCAGTTGGACACCTTGCTTCTGCAAAATACAAGTCCCCTTGTCTTTCCTTTCATATTATTAGTTTAAGCTGATTTTTGTAGAATTTACTTTTTTCATCTAGATGCAGGCTTCCAGAGAAAGCTACAGATTTTACTGAGCCTTTTAGAAACACAGCAGTCCAGGCGGATTTCTTTCTTGACATGGTTTGTCCTTTGGGGGGCGGTGAGAAAAAAATTGGAACCATATCCACCTTTCAACCAACTGCTTGACTGTGTGATAAATTGTATTTTTTAATCTGTACACTAGAGCTACTCCAGCCTGCTACTAAAGAGCATGAGGACAAATGAACAAAAGCCAGAGTGCTTGCAGAGTTCTACATTTGGTGGCCAAGGAGCAGAGCTGAGATCTGCACGCAGTGATTTCCGTGGGGTCATTTACTGGTAGATATCCAGCACTAGCCAAGCTCACGTGGAATTCCACTCATGACTGACTCATATCTGAGACTTTCACTTTAAATAGCTGTAAACACTGGTG